AGCCGAACAGACGGGCCCCGCCCCTAGCCCCGGGAAGCCAGCGCGCCGGCGGGCGACCAGGCTGCCAGCTGCGATGGAGTCGGGTTCCAACCCGGTTCTTCTACGCGGCCGGGCTCCTGCTCGTCCGCCGGTGACCTACGACGAGGAGCTCTACGACTGCCTCGACTATTATTACCTGCGCGACTTCCCGGCCTGCGGGGCCGGGCGCAGCAAGGGCCGAACACGTCGCGAGCAAGAACTGCGCTCCAACCGGCCGGTGCCTGGCGGCCACGAGCGCAAAATCGCACAGAAGCTCCTCAATGGCCAGCGCAAGCGTCGTCAGCGCCAGCTGCAGCCCCGGCCTCGCACCGTCCTCTGCTGAGAGCCGGTGCGTGCGGGCGGCCACCCACTAGGGCCTAGGGAGCATCGCGAATGCCCATGGCCACCCAGGCGCCGTCCAGGCTGGGTGCCTGGGCAGTGGGCGCCTTCCAAGGCTGCGTAGCTGTACCTCTTTACCCCCACTTACATCTCCTTACTGCAGTTGGAATAGTGTAAAACTCTGCCTTTTGGAACTTAGTAGCTGGGTAGAAGGGGCTAGGAAACGCAGAAAACATCTTTTTAAAAAATACAAGCAAGAGCTCTACTTCCAGTGTTCATGCTTGGACTAAAGAGAACTGATTTGGAGTTTTGTCTGATTTTTCTGCAGGATACCCGAAGGACCTGATAAAACTATTTTCTCTGACGCCAACTGTAACTGTGGTCCTAAGGGGGACAGAATCCATGTTGGTCAACAGAAGTTGTCGACATCGCTTAAGTTTACTACTACAGCGTTTTTTTCCTTTCTAGTTGAGCGCTAAGTAACGTTCAAGTGTGTATGCCTTTTTAGGGTTTTTAATTAAAAGCACAGTAAGAACGGCATTTTAACTTCTCCAGGTTTTTTCAGTTACCACAGTAACCTGTTTCAAGTCTACAAATACTTGAGTTCTTATGTGTAAAAGAAAAGGTCACAGGACCTGAGAGGTGATGCCCTCCCTATGTAAGAGAAGCTGGATTCCACATGTCCACCCCAGTTCAAGTTTCCTGCATGTCAACCTGAAACACAGGGATCGAATCCAAGTGCCCAAGATCCAGGGTTGGAGGAAGGGGATCACAGCATGAATAGATTCTGTGGAGGGTTTCTTCTCTCTCTCACTTGTACACATTAACACACTGCATCATGAGTTTGGGGAGGGGAGGAAAGGCACAAAGAGGAAGGAGAAACCATGGGAACCAGCAGTTAACGTAATGGCTATGTCACTGGACTCCCACGTAGTCGACCGCAGTTCGTGTCCCTTGGCTTAAAACTCACGCCGGGCACCCGTGGCTTAAAACTCACGCATGTGTGCGTGCATGCCCAAGATCCCGAGAGGAGAATGGAGGAGAGGGGATTGCAGCGTGACCATCCCCCCTGGGGGGTGATTTCTCACTTTCTGTCTCTATGTCTCTGTCTGTCTGGCGAGTGCACGCGCCCTACAGTGAAAATCTCTCCAAAAAAAAAAGAGGAAGGAGAAACCAAAGATAAGAATTTGTACAAGATTTGTACCCAAATGTCATAAACTACTCTGAAGTTTTAGTATTTGTTATAATACTATAAATTTTTATTTTATTATTTTTCAATTTACTATAGGGCATATGCACTCACCAGAGAGAGACAAAATGAGAAAGCAAGCAGCCAGGTCTGGGACTCTAACAGCCGTCAGACATGTGGGAGTCTAGTACTTTAACCACACAGCATTTGCCAGCCCCATAATACTGTATATTAAACAGCTGCTAGTTCTCTGCACTACTGCTCCCACAACAGTTTTTTGAAGTAGATACCTTTATCCCATTTTAGAGAAGTGATTTTAAGGCACAGAGAGTTCAAGTAACTTCCCAGAGGTCACACACCTAATTAGACAGTAGACCAGGTGATCTGACCCCAGTAGTTGTGTTCCTGACCTCTTTGCTACAGTACAACAAAGAGATATGTACACATTTCATATTTACTTTACCTAGAATTTGTCTGTAGGGCATGGTATATACGTTAAATGAGCACTATGCTGAGTGAAGGAACTGCAATAATATGTGAGAAAATGGAATTAAAGTATGAATTTATTTTAGTGCAAAAAAGTTTGAATGCCAGGTATAGTTTTCTCAGAATATATGCATTCTCCTTTTTTCTTTTTTTTCTTTTTTTTAGATTTTTTGTGGACAGGCAGATACACTTTCTAGAGGGAGAGACAGGGAAAATGAGAAATGATCCCTCCAGGGGGATGGCCACATAGCAATCATTTTTTCCTCCATTCTCCTCTCAGGATTTTGGACACACTCACATACCACATCTGGCATGTCTTTCAGGCCACCAGGTCTGGAATTTGAACTGCTGTCAGCCATGTAGGATCCAGCGTCTTAACCACCATACCACCTGCTGGTCCCACCATGGACTTTTTGAAGACCTCATATATTTTAATGGTTCTTCTGAAGATGAAAAATTTGGGGACCAGCAGATGGCATAAGTTACATCACTGAACTTCCATGTAGTTAACTGCAGTTCGAGTCCTGGACCTAGCAACTTAAAGCTCATGCCAGCACCTATGCATGTGTGCCCAAAATCCTGAGAGGAGAATGGAGAAGAGATTGTAGCATGGCCACCCACTTTGGGGGGCTGATTTCTCACTTTCTGTCTCTTTGTCTCTGTCTTTCTCTCTCTGGCAAGCGTACATGCCCCATAGCAAAAATCTCTCTCTAAAAAAGGAAAAGAAAAATTTTAATAGAGATTCAGTTTCCTCAAGCTAATTGATAAAGAAATTATGCTGCTCTTGGGCCAGCAGGTGGCATGGGTTAAGGGCATTGTATTCCCATATGGCTAATCGCAGTTTGAGTCCTGGACCTGGCAGCTTGCTTCTTCACTTTCCTTTTCTCTCTCTGGTCAAATAAAATAATACTAATTATAATAACAAATGAAATTAAATAAAGAACTAATTCTTTTTTAAAAAAGAAATTATGCTGCTCTTTTTAATTTTTATTCCTCAGGCCAGCAGGTGACATGGTGGTTAAGGACACTGGACTCCCACATGGCCAACCACGGTTCAAGTCCTGGACCTGGCAGTTTGCTTTCTCTATCTCTGTCCCTTTCTGGTCAAGTGAAAAGAAATAAGTAAATAAATAAATAAAGTTAAATAATTCTTACATAAAAAGATAACTGAATAAATTTT